TTCCACCTCAAGGCTCCTCCCCATCTCCAATGCCCTCCTGTGGACATTCTGTAGATAGTCGCTGTCCTTCACAGTGCCCACAACTGACCCCAGTTCTCCAGTCACCCTCCTGATGGATGGAACAGGGCAGTGGAACTATCGCCTTCTTATTCCTGGAAGAAACGTCCCCTTTCAGGCAGCCCAGGAGGGCATTGGCCAAAGGAGGTGCCCTGGAAGTCTCCACATACTTCCTCCCTCTCCCACACCCCACCATACTCCTTTTCTCGCTGAGACCGCACACATAGCTAACATTAAATACGTTTTTCAAATTGTTGTTGGACAGCAGAGATTCGGGCAAGGCCCTCAAGGGCAGCTAGGATTTGTCCCAGGGAGGGGTGGGGATGGGTCATGCTGGACAAAAGAGGCCCCTTCTTATTCATTCCCCTCAAATAGTCTGGGACACTCCTGGTAGCTGACTGGGTCCCTTTTTCTGGACCTGAGTCACCATTGGATCGAGTGCTCCCCACAGGCTGAGACAGTGACCAGGCCGAGAGAGAGTGACAAGGCTTTCTATGAATGAGGCCCGTCCCCTCCTCCCCCACCCCCCACCCCCCGGGTGCTTGGGCCCCCAGCCCAGCTCAGGGACCCGTGATTGATTCAGACGGATGGAATAGCGACTTCCACAATCCCTAAAAATAACTCACCAGCTTCATGCTCCCAACATAGCCTGGCCCTACCAGATAAAAGCAGCTGTCGGGTTCCACAGATCATACAGACCCAGGAGCTGTACGCCGAGGGGGACGCAGGAGGCAGTACAGCGAGCGAGAGCAGAGGAAAAAAAGAGCCACCACAGCCGACTTTCCCCAAGGACCCAGCAACTCCTCCTGAGCCCAGCTTCTCTCTAGAAACCCCTGCCCTAGTGGCTGCCAGGGCCCCCAAGTAAGTGACCATTCTCTCATCTCCTTGGGCGAACTAGCCAATGTCTCCTCATCTACCCGGTGGGGCCAGGCTTCAGGCTGGGGTGGGGAAAAGGGACAGGAGGTCAGGAGGTCACTCTAATCTCCCCTAGTGGGGTTCATTCTCCCCAAGAGCCTGAGGCTAGCGTCCAAAGAGATGGGAGCGGGAGACCAGGATCCGACAGCTGGGGGTGGGAGGGGCAGGCTAGACTTGCTCCACTCTGAGACTTCCAGGGTTTGGAGGTGAGGGACCTGGGTGCTGAAAAGCCAGCCTGACTTCCCTGGGGCACTTGGGATCAGGAGAATCAGTATCCATACAGATTCCAGTCTCTCTCTAGCTACCACCAAGTAAGGACTTAGAGAAAGTCACTCGCCTCCATTATCTTTCTTCTAAATGAAGAGAGAAGACCTCCCAAGGAGCTAAATGCCCCAATCCCATCTTGGCAGAATGGGCCCCATTCAGTTTAGGAGAAGCCACAGGTATAAAGAGGCCTGCTGCAGCCCATGGGGCCTGAGGAGCTGTGTGCAAATCCAAAGTCCATAAAATGAGCTTAGGGAGGCATCCCGAGAGAGTTTATTTAAAGCCGATGATGCTCAGAGCCCATAAGGAGGTGCTGGCGGTAGCCCTGGGGGCGAGCACTCTAAGAAGGCAGCAGAGCTCGCTAAAGGGGAGACGGGAGGGCCAAGCCTGGGAGCTGGGAAAGGGGGATGGCAGAGACCGAACTGGAGGGAGATAGATTCGGTACAATCCACGGTGGCTCTGGGAAGGGAAACCTCAGATAGTGATTTAAAACAGCCCATTCCATGGAATCCTCTAGGAGGGTCGGACGTTGGGCTAGCTAGGTCCCTTGAGGTGTCCTGGGGGCTTCATCCACAGCCTCTTCTCCCATAAAGGCCCAGGGAGGAAGGGAAGGCCTTTGGTTCCTGGCTGGAGCCCTGTCCCCGAGTCTCAAGGCCGCGGCATGGCTGTCCCCTGATCTGGGAAGCAGCAAGGTTAGCCCAGGAAGGCCTGTCTCTCTCCATCCCTGGCCCTGCTGAGCTCAGCTGGGAGCTTGGGAGCAGCAGGCTTTGGGGCGCCCCAGGATCTGCTGAGCCAGCATGGAGGTTGTCCTCCCTGTGCAGGAGCCCCAGAGGGCCTGGCTGTCTGCCCCCTAAGGGCAAGCCCCCCTCCCAGGCTCAGGCCCCTCCCCTGACACTATAGTTCCTCAGCTGTCCAGGGTGAAAAGTCTTTACATTTCTGGCCCCAAGAATAGATCCCTTGGCAGCCCCTACTCCACCCCAAAGGAGGCTGCATGGGGGAGGAGGACCTTCCTGAACCTTCCTTCCAGGTACTATCAGTCAGCTTTGGAGTCAGAAAACCCAGATTCAAATCCTGGCGCCACTACTTACTACCTGGGTGACTTTGGGCTAATCATGCCAGCTCCTGGTGCCTCATTTTACTCATCTACAAAACAAAGGGGCCAGTAGCCCCTAAGGTCTCCCTTCTGCTCTGTACTTGGGGCTCCTGGGGTCACTCAGATGCAGATTCCTCCCTCCCCCTGACCCTCACCCCTTGGCTCTCAGCCACCCCAGCGCCCAGGGAGTGTGAAAGCCAGCAGGGTGGGGGCAGGGCAGGTGCCAGACTGGGCTAGTAGAGGTTTTGGGCACGGCTGGTAGCTTTGGCCACCACAGGGGGTGGTTTGACCACTCACCAGATCTGACCAAGGCAGATGAAGAGGTAGATGGATGTGCTAAGGGAGAGGTGGGGGCAGAGACTTCGTAGCCACTGGAGTGGGGGAGGGGCCGGTAGGGGATGCCCAAGATCCCAGCTTCAGTGTTTGAGTGGGTGTGGATGTGTGTCCCCTTGGGTGACAAACAAGGGGAAGTCATGGCCCTGAATTCCTTATCTATGTTGCTAACGAGCCACAGAAGGTGAGGCGTTTAACCACCTGCCTAGTTCTTCAATTTCCCTAGAATGACAGTTGGGGAGTAATTGGGTGACCCAGTGACCTAGTGAGGATATCTACCTGGTGGCATGGCAAGGGGCCCCCCCCCCCCCCCCCCCCCCGCCTAACCTCCCACCTGCCTGGACTTCTGCCTATTGTCTGGGGACTGGAAGCCTTTGAAAGGGGGGAAGGAGGAGGGCCCCAAAGCCAAGACTGGTCACTGCCCTAATTCCAGAGGGAAGTTTGCTCCAAGATTGTTCCTGCAGGGCTCATGATCACGGAGGAGTCCGATGTCGGTCTGATGTAACCAGGCAGCGAGGGAAAGGCCAAGGGAAACAGTTTGTGTCTCTCATATTACTCTGGGGTCTTGGGAGTGTTTTCTGGACAAGAGAAGAGGAGACTTGAAACTGAGGTCAGAGTGCAGGAAAGAAGGTGCAGCCATTGGGGCTTTGCCCTAGGGTGTCAAAATTCCAAGACCAATGAAAGTAGGAAGAAGCCCTATCCTGCTCCCTCCCCATGTGGCAACTTCACAGCAAACTGAGGGCTCTGTCTCCCCCCACCCCAACCATCGGGCCTCGTCCCAAGGTCCAAAACCTCTTCTGGACATCATCATCCCTGCTTCTGAACTTGCCTTAGCCATTTTCAGGAGCCACGCATGCCATTTGCCCCAAGAATTGTTAGCTAAGCTCTGTAATGGAGTGGAAACAGCCCCAACCCCTTCACCCCTTGAGCTCCGTTCTCATGCCTCCCTGCTCCCCTTAGCCCCATGGTAGGGGAATGGATGCATATGCCAGCCCAGCACTCCAAGACCAGAGATGAGAGGAGCCAGCTGAACCTGAGGCATGGGGGGTGGGGGTGGGGGAGACAAGTGGGAGGGGCAGGAATCCACTTTGCCCCTTGTGCCCTAGCCATTGCCTGTCTGGCTATTTGCCCCCATCACTGCCTAGGACAGCTTAAAGATGGGATAGCTGGGTCTGTCTGGGTGGACATGAGGATGGAATCATCCTCATCAATGAAAGGGGGGCCCTTTTCTGGTGGGAGGCATACAGGCCCTGCAGGGATCAGGGACCCTCTGTCTGAGAGGGTCAGCAGGAGGGGATGCCTAGCCCAAACCCCACATTCCTCACCCAAGTGCCAGGGTGAGATGGGAGCCTGGCAGCCAGACTCTTTAGGCTATATTTAGTGTCCAAGGGAAGGTCTGTGTGCATGGGGGTGGGGGGAAGGTGACATGCCTCTCATTCTTTCCCAGGAAGCTCTGGCTGCTGTTTTTACACTTGTCACCCGGCATAGGGATGGGCAGGGCAGACAGCAGCGCAGTGGGGAAAGATTTCCAGAGTAGGTGGTTGGGTCAGTCTTTTCAGAAATGCTGAGGATCCCACTGAGGAGGCTTTACGGGAATGATTGTCATGTCATCTGTCATGAGAAGCATGTGAAAAATCTCATTATCCAAAGAGAATCCTCAGGAGAGTAGATTTAGGACTGGAAGCAACTTTACCAATCATCTCATTCAGCCCCCTTATTTTCTAGGTGAGGAAAACTGAGGCCCAGGTTGACGAAATAACTTTGAGATCATCTAGAGGGCTGGAAGAAATTTCCAAAGCTCCCACAGATACAGATGAGGAAAATGAGGGTCAGGGAGGTGCCCTGAGATCACACAGTCGGAAGGAAGATGAATAAGAGGTTGATAGGGGGCCCTTGAGAGGAGGAGGGTGGAAAGGAAAAGAACCCAAGGCTAGATGGTTATCTCTGCTTATACTTAGACTCACCTTTCTTTCAACAGAGTCTGAGAAAGACCCCCCACGACCCCAGAGCCAGCAAGGTAGGATTCCTGACTGTGTGTGGTGTGGTGTGTGCTGGGTCCAGAGAGACCCCTCTGCAGAAGCCAGGGGACTCCAAGCAGAGGGTCCACGACTAGGGTAAAGACTTGAACCCGACCAACGAAGGACGAGGAGAAGCCTTCAGCTTGGTGGTCCCAACCTATCCTAGACACAAATGGTGGGGCCAGACCTGGGATTGGGCATCATCTCTCCTAACCCACGTCCCCAGCATGGCAGTCTTAACCGTGTGCTGTGTCCTCACTAACTTGCCTACCATCCCCCGGCCCATGCCCTCACCTATCTCCCCTTATCTCCCCACAAGGATGGCTGAGGGCAAGGTCCAGGCGTCACCTGCAATGACCTTCCCAAAGACCGGGGAAGACACACTGGCATTGCCACCACCCCCTGCCCAGGACGAGTTGCCCCTTCCCCCGCCCAAGGAGGCCTTCTCCAAGTTCTACCAGCAGCGACAGGCCAATGAGCTCAGGAGACTCTATCGCCACATCCACCCCGAGCTCCGCAAGAATCTGGAGGAAGCTGTGGTCAAGGACTTAGCTGAGGTCCTGGAGGCCGAGGACCCCACAGAAGGCGATGTCCAGTCCATGCGCTGGATCTTTGAGAACTGGAGTCTGGACGCCATCGGTGACCACGCGCCTCCTCAGAGGTTGACAGACAGTGAGGCGGTACCTGCAGGGGATGTGCGGGCCACCTCGAAAAAGTTTGAGGATGGCTCCTTTGGCACTACGGACCAGGCACCAGCCAAGCCAGGGCCAATCCGTGGGGACGTTCAGACAGTCCGGTGGCTATTTGAGACCCGACCGATGGACACGCTGACGAGTCAGACAGATATACAGAAAGCTGTGCTCCGAGAGCCCCCACCAAGCGGAGATGTCCAGGGCACCAGGACCCTCTTTGAAACAAAGCCACTGGACAGCCTGGGCTGCCAGCCCTCTACCCAGGAGCAAAGTCCCCTGCAGCTGCGCTCAGAAATCCAAGAGTTAAAGGGGGACGTGAAGAAGACGGTGAAACTCTTCCAGACAGAGCCCCTCTGTGCGATTCAGGATGCCGAGGGTGGCATCCACGAGGTCAAGGCCGCGTGCCGGGAGGAGATCCAGAGCACAGCAGTGCGGACAGCCCGGTGGCTGTTTGAGACCCGGCCACTGGACGCCATCAATCGGGACCCAAGCCAAGTTCGAGTGATCAGAGGAATCTCTCTGGAGGAGGCAGCGCGGCCCGACATCAGCAACACCCGCTGGCTCTTCGAGACGCAGCCACTAGATTCTATCCGAGAAGTTACAATTGATGAGAAGGACTTTCAGCCTTCCCCAGATCTCATCCCCCCTGGCCCGGACGTACAGCAACAGCGGATGCTGTTTGAGACCCGGGCCCTGGACACACTGAAGGGGGAGGAGGCACCTGAAGGAGCCGTGACAGCCAAGGAGGAGGTGATCGGAGGGGACGTGCGTTCTACCCTGTGGCTGTTTGAGACGCAGGCGCTGGGTCCTCCCAGCAGCAAGGTCCAAGTGGGGCGCCTGCAGCAGGTCGGGCAGCGAGAGAGTGAGAAGGGAGACTCGGAGATTGCTGGACTTGAGCTGGAGAAATGCCCTGGCGGTTGCGCCTCCAAAATGGCGCTCAGCCAGCTTCCTGCTGGGGATAAGGAGGGAAAGGGAGATGTGAAGGCTTTCAAGAAGCTGTTTGAGACTCTTCCCCTGGACAGCATTGGGCAGGAGAAGGCCCCCGTCCCTACAGAGGAGAGCAAGCTGACGGGGGTGGTGTCTGCTGGACAAGTCCAAGCCAGCCAGGCCCTGTTTGAAAAATGGCCACTGTATGCCATTCAGGATGGCCAAGGCGGCCTCCATGCTCTGACTTCAGTCAGCAGAGAGCAGGTGGTTGGTGGGGACGTTCAGGGCTTCAGGTGGATGTTTGAGACACAGCCCCTGGACCGACTGGGCCAGGATCCAGAGAAGGTGGATGTCATCCGAGGCATCACTCGTGAGGAGGTCATGGCCGGGGACGTGAGCAGTGCACGCTGGCTTTTTGAGACACAGCCCCTGGAGGTCATCCATCAGCAGAAGAAGGAGAAAGAGGGCAAAGAGGAGGAGCCCCCATCGGCAGTGCCCCCGAAGTGTAACGTGCAGACCATCCGCTGGCTTTTTGAGACACACCCCCTCCACGCTTTGGCCGGAGAGTCAAGGCCAGAGGTCACAGGCACCGGTCCTCAGGCTGATGTCCGGTCATATACGTGGATGTTTGAGACCCAGCCCCGAGAGGGGCCGGAGGGTCCTGGAGAGCAGCACCTCCAGGTCAGACAGGCCTCCCTCCATACCAAAGACCAACAGATGGAAGCTCACATCTTTGAAACAGAGCCCCTGCTCCCCCCTTACAAGCTTGGGGGAAAGGACCCTGTCCATTACTGCAGCCGGGTGGAGATTCCAGTGGGGCAGGTCTCACGAAGGAAGGAGGTCTTTGAGGCTCCAGAGGTGACCGAAGGCCAGAAAGGACAGCTGGGGCCTGTGATTGCCCCTGAGCCCGTAATGGGAGGCTCAGTCCGCAAATTCACATGGCTCTTTGAGAATTGTCCAATGGATTGCTTAGAGAAGGCAGCGAGCGGGGGCATCCAGGAGATGCCCCCTGAGAAAGACGCAGCTCCCACTGCCACATCTGGAAAGAGGTTTGTCTTTGAGACCTGCTCCCTGGGGGAACTTCCAGATGATGTGGATGAGACTGAGCTGCAGAGAATCGAGAAGAAGACCCTGGACAGAGGTCTCAGCTCGTCCCAGACCCTCCGCTTTGAGAGCCAGCCGCTGTACGTGCTGCCAGACCGCCAGGGCCAGCTCCACGAAGTCACAGCAGTGAAGAAGGAAGAGATATGGAAGGCAGACACCTGTGGTGCCCGCTGGATCTTTGAGACCCGGCCCTTGACCCAAAGGCTGGGAGCTGAAGAAGAAATATTTGTCCTCCGAGCTGTGACCCAGGAGGACATCTGTCAAGGTGAGCTCAAAGCTGCACGTTGGAAGTTTGAGACAGAGCCTTTGGAGCCGGCAGCCAGCGCTGGAAAGGACAAGCCTGGCCTTCAGGTGGCCAGGGGAGAGCCCGCGGGCAGGGCCCCACGCTACGTGCGGACAGTGAGCATGAGCGATGTGCAGCAGGGGAACGTGCGCACCTCCACCTGGCTCTTTGAGAACAGGCCCTTGGACTCCCTGAAGGGCGGTGAGTCGGAAGGTAACGCGGAGGCTTCTGCCACCCCCGAGCCCGCTCTGTCCGTGCAGAGACAGGACAGCTGCCGAGGGGACGTCAAACGTTGCACCTGGCTCTTTGAGACCCAGCCCCTGGACCAGCTCCAGGAGCCGGCGCCCCAGGACGAGGTGCCCAGGGAGAAGCTACCGCAGGCAGACGTGAAGAGCACCACGTGGCTCTTTGAGAGCACCCCCCTGGACCAGCTGCATGACTCCGTGCCCGGGAAGGAGAGACCCCGGGAGCAGGTGCCCCAGGCAGACGTGAAAGGCACCACTCGCCTGTTTGAGAGCAAGCCCCTGGACCACCTGAATGCCCAGCCGGATGGAGAGCCAGAGCAGAGGGAGACAGCGTCCGGGGAGATCCTGACAATGCTGCACGGCACCCCTGGTGTCCTGCAAAGGGGAGGCATCCTCATCGAAGCCCACACAGCCCGGACGGTCCGAATGGCCAAATACCAGCTGCCCAGCCCTGGCAAGGAGCGGCCTCAGGTGCAGAAGGAGGAGGTGGTCCTGGGTGAGCTTCCGAGGATTCTGCGCCGCGTGATGCAAGGGCCAGACGTGGCTCCTCAGGGGCTTCTGGTGCAGAAGGATGAGGCTGGCCTCGTGAAGCTGGAGCCGCTGCCGCTCTCAGCCCTAATGGATGGCAGTGGACACAAGGTCTGGGACCTGCTGGCCTGGAGCCATGCCGCTGGTGGGACCAGAACGGGGCTGGTGATCCAGGAGACCGAGCAGGGCTTGGTGAAGCTGCTTGTCTACTCACTCCGGCTCCAGCTGGGGTCCCAAGCAGCCAGTGGGATGGCAGAGAGGGGCAGCGTCCAGCTCTTAGCTAGCTGTATCGAGAAGGGGGACCTGGATTCCCTTAAGAGCTTGCAATGGGAGCCCCCGACAGACAACCACAGTCCAGCTGAGGGGACAGCCACCCCGAGCCAAACCCCCCTGACAGCATCTTCAGCGAAGAAGGTCATCCACGTGGCCTTGCCAGAAGGTGGGATAGGGTGTGCAAAGAGCACAGGACCCACCTCCACCCAACTCCTGGCCAAGGAGGCTTGGGTCTCCCCAGGGCCGCAGGGCCAGGGGAAGCATGGAGGGGCACAGAAGGCCCCAGCGACCCTCGGAGACCCCCAGGGAGCCCCATCCGTGACCCCAGAGGGGCCGGGCCCTGACCTCCAGGTAGCCATGCAGAACCTCCGTCGGGCCACAGCTGAGGCCCAGACCCTCCAACACCAAGTGCAGAGCAAACACAGGCCGAGGAACGTCCCCTCAGCACGGGAGCCCCCCCAGAATGGCCAGACCCAGGAGCCGGCCCCGCAGAGCAGTCCCGCCCCCAGGATCTCCAGGGTAGTGATGCCTGACATCCAAATGACCTCCCTGGTCCGCAGTAAGGTCAGTGCTAGTCAGGAAGCGCCGACTGAGGGGTCGCTCAGAGGGAGGGTGGCTGTTCAGGATGGCATCTACACAGCTAAGCCTGTAAGGACCTTCATGCCCCGCGCTGGGGCCCCGCCTGCTAACGGGGAGCTGGAAGCCATGCCCCAGCCAGGGGCCCCCACCCCACCAAGTGCCGGGGGCCCGGAGGTAGGCTCAGGACCAGGGGGGGAAGGGAGCAGGGGCTGTGTACAGGCCGCCCTTGAGTCTCTGGGCAAGGCCAATATGAACGTATGCAAAGGAGACATCAGAGCAGCTCTCATCTACCAGGATGCAGCCCGCAGGGTCTCTGTACCCAGCCCCAGCCAAACCGCTGGCCCCAGCCAGCCAGCCCTTAATGACTTTCCTCCTCCCCCAGCTGCTGTGACTGGACCTGAGTTCTCACCCCTACCTGGCCCTGAAGACAGCACCCTTTCCCGTGCTCCAACCCCTCAGAAGCCCTATGCTCCTGTCCTCAGCCCTGTCTCTGGCCAGAGACCCCCAGAGAGACCAGAGGCAGAGTCCCCCAAACAGGAGACAACGGTGATGGTCACCAGGAAGAAGCCCGCTCTACCCCCCAAGCCTGCGCACCTCGGAGCTCCAGCCCAGATCCTTCCCCCGAAGCATGCGGCCGTCACTGGGACTGCAGGGGAGGCCCAGTCTCTGATGCCACCACGCGAAACAAGTGGATATGCAGATGGCCCCCTCAGCGGGAGGCCGCCCCCCAGCCTGGTCCCCTCTGCCTCCAAGACCTCTGAGAAGGAGGTTGTGGTCAACAGTGGCCGGGCCATGGGTCCTAGAGGGTCTCCCTGCACCCCGGCTACACTCAAGGATGATCCTGCCCCACTGCAGGGGCCAAGGGGGCTTCCCAGGCAGGAGTCAAAACCAGAGCCCGAGACCAATCAGCAGAAGCCTGGGGGAGAGATCCCCCAGGGACACGTGCAGGGAGCCAGAGAGATCTTTGAAAACCTGAAGAAGCAGCAGGAGCTGCAGGCCATCCTGAGCCGCGTGAAGGCCATTGAGGAGGACGCTGTGCGTGGGGTGGACGTGAAGGCCCTCCAGAGCCTCTTTGAGGCTGTTCCTGAGTGGGTGGGGAAAAGGCCCCAAACTTCAGACTCCAGGGAGGCCTGTCCTGGGCAGGCCTCGACTCCGGGCCCCAAGGGGGTGTCCTCGGTGGAGCTGGCCTTTGGAGACCTGGCCCGGGCCAGTGCTGAAGTGGCCTGCCTGAAAGAGCAGACCCTGGCCCGGCTGCTGGACATCGAGAAGGCTATCCGTAAGGCCCTCAGCTCTGTGTCCAGCCTCAAGCCAGAGGCCGACATTGTGGCACTCTCGGGCCTCCTTGGAGAGTCACTAGGGGAAGAGCCTTCAACCCCAGCTCCGAGAGAAAGCAGCATTGCCGAGGTCAGCATCCAGTCCAGTAGTAAGGTCAAATCAGAGCAGACTGGACCCGAGGGCAGGGAGCAAGCCCAGCTCAAGGGTCAGGCGGAGGCCGAGGCTCAAGCAAAGGCCCAGGACCTCTCTAAGGTGGAAAGTCAAGCCTCGGTGAAAGCCCAGCCCAGAGGACTGCCCGAGAACCTGAGAACAGAGCTGGGCATCGCCAGAGTCCTGCCTGCCCGCGTAAATTCTCCCTCCTCGCCGTCCTTCATCACCATTGAGTCAGCAGCCAGGAAGCCGGCAGAGTCTCCCAGCCCCAGGGACAGCCCCGACACGTCCCACCTGTCCCGGGACATTGCCCACTCTTTGCCCCTAGAAGGTATCCCAGCTGATCGAGATCACAGGGAGGTGAGGCAGGGCCTCGGCCAGTCGGAGCCAAGCCCTGGGGCCAGTCCCCTGTTCCCCAGGAGGCAGAAAAGCGTCTTGGAGCTGCAGACGGGCCCTCGGGGCTCCCAGTTATACGGAGCGACCCGGACAGTGACGGAGCAATATGAAGAGGTGGACCCATTTGGGAACAAGATCATCACGTCGTCCACCACGGTCACGAAGCAGGCCGACGGCCCGGCCAGCAGGGGCCACGGTTATGAAGTGGGCACCTCCCCTCTGCTGCGCCGCTACCTGCAGAGCACCTCCAGGGCCAACGGGACCCTGCATGAGGCTGGCATGGTATGCGTGACCTTTGGGAACTCCCGGCCAACCACCAAGTGAAGCCTCCTCCATCCCTCCACACGAGACAAGAGGTCGGCTCCCCCCACCGAGGGAAGCCCCCCGGGCCACTCTGGGGTGCCCAGGAGCCACCCCAAGCCTTGATCGTGCCTCCATCCCCAGCCCCCGCCTCCTGAGGGATTGAGGCTAACGTCAGTGATGGGCGGGGGCCAAAACCAAAGAGCAAAGTTCACTTGGGTGCGTTATTTGGTATTCTCTTTCCTCCTCTTCCCACGGTTTTTTTTCACTCTATGCTAGATGGGGGGAGAGGAGAAACGACCTTTTTTCTACTGGGGTAGGAGAGGTCAGGAAGGGCTCTCTGTCGTATGAGACGCTCCCTCTGGACAGACACACAGTTACACATACACACGTGCATGCTGACAGACATAAATGCAGGCATTCTTCCAGGTGCATCCCCATCAAGATGTCAATGCACACACGTTCCCTGAACTCACACAAATGTCCACGTAGTCCTATCACACACACTCTCTGAGGGGTCCCCCCAACATACCCAGACCTAGATGTCCTCTTCCTTTCCTTCATCCCCCCTCTCTGAGGGAAGGCCCCCTTTCATTCCAAAGTCCTAGAGAGTTCTCCTTCCCCCCCAGGAAAGGGTCAAGAGGAATGGGCAGAGCCACTTGGCTTGGGGTCAGCTCTGCTCTGGCTGTCTCTTCAGGCTCCAGGAGGCCTGCACACCCATCCTCCCCCTCCACCCAGCCTTCCTCAAACCAAAGTTCTCCAGATCCTCTCCCACCACATGCCCCACACTGCAATGGCCCTTTTCTTACTCTTTATAAACATGTTTTGGATATCATCTGCTGCCTGCTTTCTGTACTTGGGTATAGCTTTTTCCTTACATCTCTGTCCTGGGGGTGTGAATGGGAGGAGGCGGACTTGGGTGTATTTGGCTATGAATGGATTGGGAGGGGACGTCCAGAGCAGAGGTGGAGTCTCTCTGTCCAGCCATCACCACCACCGACACCACCATCTCCACCATCTCTGAATCTCCGAGCTGAAGGGCTCCCAGTGGCCACACGATCCAGCCCCCACCTGGCCCAGAATACCTTCTCCACAAATGGTCATCCAGCCTTTGCTTGGGGGCCTCCAGTAAGGCGCAGCCCACTGCCCCCTGAAGTAACTCGTTCTACTTTGAGATAGTTCCAATTGTTAGGAAGTTTGCCCTGCTGTGTTTAGTCGTGTCTGACTCTCCGTGACCCCATTTGGAGTTTTCTTGGCAGAGATATTGGAGTGGTTTGCCATCCTCTTCTCCAGTTCATTTTACAAATGAGGAAACTGAGGCAAATAGGGTGATACAGGATCATACAGTTAGTAAGTGTCTGAGGCCAGATTTGAACTCAGAAAGATGAGTCTTCCTGACTCCAGGCCCAGCGCTCTATGCACTATGGCGTTACCTAGCGGATCTAGCTTGTCCTGACATCAAGCTAAAATCAGGCTCTCTCTATACCATCCACCCATCCACGGCTCCTGGTCTTGCTTTCCGGTGCTAGGCCCAATAAGTCAAATCCTTCCAGGCAATAGCCTCAGAGATGCCTAAACACAGTGTCTTATGCTGTCTAAGTCTTCCCCTTCTCCAGGTATTGACCAGTCCTCATCTGACGGGTCTGGGGGCCCCACCGCTGCTCTCTCCAGCCCATCCACATGTCCTCCTGAAGAGGGTAGCCACAAGCTGGACATAGTGTTCTAGGGGTGATCAAACGAGTTAATACCTGCAAAGAGTTTTCCAAGCCCTAAAGCCCCATATAAATGCTAGTTATTAATTATTGATAGTCGCAGTCTGCTGAGGCAGAGGCATTGGGTCAATGCTTCCCTTGTTCTAAGCACCCCCAGGCCCCAAAGGATCAATGACCTCGCAGGTGGGAGCGTTCGCTGCAATGACACAGAGTGCCTGCCCGGCCGGGTGGCCTCTAAAAAGTTCATCACAATGAGTCTGCTCCATGTGCAGGGGGCCTCCCTCAGGTTTTCACAGGGAGTCCCCCAGCTGGATGGCGGTGATCACCTTGGCACTTGGACCTTGCTCCATGAACCTTCAAGCGTATCTGCCTGGTTGACAGCCACACCGAACTGAGCACTCCCATTGAGTTTGCCGGCCGCTAAAACCCTGGGTATTTTTAAGCTAACTTAGCTGTGTCCCCCCCCCCTTCCTTATCCTAGGCCTATTCGATTACAGCTTCTTAGAGTCAGGCCCTTGTTCTAGTCACTGGAGATGTTCTCAGAGCCCGATTCTGTCCTCAAAAGTTCCATCAACCCTTCTCGTCCTCATCCCCCCCTCCTTCCTATTTTTCCTACAAATGAGAACATGAAGGAGCCTGAGCTTAGGGTACTGACTGGCCAGGGTCCATGGCTTTCCACAGGCCACTCCCAGAAGAGGGTTCCCTTAATCCTCCCTGCTTTCTCACACAGGACGTCGCCAAAGTACACTTTGTTCTATTCCTGACCCGATCCTGGGTCTGCAGGCTGTGAAATGGGACGGTGGATGGAGCACTGGGCTTGGAGTCGAGGAGACCCGAGTTCAAATCCTGCCTTAGACGCTAGCTGGGTGACCCTAGGCGAGTCAGTCTCAGTTTCCTTACCTGTAAAATTCGGGAGTTGGCCTCTAAATCGATGATCGTGTTGCTGCCTTCCACTTGGATGTCCCAAGCCCAGCCCTGCATCTGCCAGGGAGTGGTACGCCTCAGCTTCGCTTACACACAGGAAGCATGCTCATTAACCATTCCACAGGCCACTGAGTCTAGCCTGCATCTAAACAAGAACCCCCCTTCACTGGTGCCTCTGCCTGGAGACCTCCAACGATGGGGAGCCCCTGTCAGGGCCTGCCCCCCGATGTGTCCCCTCTAGCCTCGTCCTCTATTGCTGATGTCTCTTCTGAACTCCCTGTCCTCAGCATCCCCACTCTGAGCCTCCCTGCCTCTGCCTACTGAGACACCAAGCTTCGCTTCAACTCCAGCCCGAGAGGTCGGAGTCATGAGTGAGGGGCTGGGTCCCCTCACTTTTCTCCAGACACCCCGACTTCTGTTAAAGACCCAGCTGTTCCGTGGTGTCCATTTAAGGTCTGCGCTGCTCTGAGGAACGTGGGTGCTTCAAAAATCCTCTCTACCTAGGGGCAGCTAGGTGGCACAGTGGATAGAGCTCAGGCCTTGGAGTCAGGAGGATCTGAGTTCAAATATGACTTCAGACACTTGACACTTACTAGCTGAGTGACCCTGGGCAAGTCACTTAATCCCAATTGCCTCACCAAAAAAAAAAAAAAATCCCCTCTATCCTACATGGTGAATCCATCCTCCCACAACCTCCAAGACACACGTGGGACTGACTCCCTTACTCCCAGACTCTCCCTGCCATCGTCCCCTTCATACCCAATTCTGGCTCATTCTCTGTGCCCTCCCCACTGCAGAGAGAATCCCTGAGTGGCCAAGGACATATGGAGGGAATGAGTGAAAGGAACGCTGGGGATGAGGGACCGAGGGCGATGGGTGGAGGATGTCCCACTTGAAAACTGGCTGAAGAGAGGTTAAATATGAAGGGTCTTTATGTTTATGAAAATGAAGGGAAGTGGACGGTCTCCTCTGCCCCCACTTCTATCCCTCCACCACACCTCCTCCATGGACTCTCAGCCCCTGACCCGAGCATGCAATAGCTAAGAAGACTAAATATCGGGATTCTTCCGTTGGACGATGGTCGTTTTTCTCCCGAATCTTTTTTCTTCAGTTTTCAGCTGGGCTTACCCTGGGCTTCACCTCCTCCTCCAGGGAGGCAGCTCTAGTCACTGCTGACAAGGCTGAAAGGAAGGGGCATAATGGTCCGGATTTCTCAGGCCTGCCCACGTAGCCAAGCAGCCTCTTCCCGGCTGCTCGCCATTTCCCCAAGTATCCTTCTAGGGGCAGCCCCTACCCCACCTTTCCTTAGATGGCTTCTGCTTCCTGGCTTCCACGACCTCCTCCAGCTTCTTCACTGTGACCTCAGTTCCAGGCTCTGTGAGCAGGGCCCACGGGCTCCCTTGCTGCCCTGGCGGGTTTCATACCCCCAGAGCCTGGCACGCTGTCTTGCTCACAGTGAGCTGGGCACACCTGCAGAAATGTGGGCTGGATTGGATTGTGAATTGACTTTGTAACTTTGCTCCATGGCAAAGGAAGGCATGGAACGTGAGAGTCTCAGAAGAATGGAAAAGGGAAAACACAGAGATGGCAAGGGGAAGGTACCCAGTGGGCGGGTATGAGCAAGCTTCAACAACAGGGATTTCTTCTCAAGGAATCATATGATAAAAAGAAAAGATGGGCTGGCCACAGAGCATGGGCAAAGGATGATGGGCAGACAGCGAAAGTACCCCATGGCTCCCCTCATAATGTCAGGGGAAAGGAAGGAAGGCCCCCAGCACATTGGGCGGACCTCTGGGATGAACTCTGTGATTGGAGGAGTTGCCCAGGTGGGGCAGACGTGGAAGGAAGGGAAGGGGAGGGAGCTTCCAAAGCCATGAGATCAGAAGATCATGGCACTCTCTGAGTAGTGTAGCCTTTATATGACTTCTGAATCCAGAATTTCCTTGACTACTTTACAAATCCTTGTTTGGTTCTAAGAATGAAATAAAAATAAAAATAAAGCTAGGATTGGTGGGAATCGGGGGCCACAGCACCTCATGAAGCTGTCTGCTAAGACACAGAGGGGTCTACAGCTCCTTTGTGGGGGCCAGGAGGGGTAGGGATCTTTTGAATTGCTGAAGTATTCAGGGGTTATTTTTATTTTTGTCTTTGAAAAAATACTTTATTAAAAATCCTCCAAAAAATCTTCATAAATTGAAGAATAGGATAGTTGGTTTATTTTCCATTATAAACAAATCTTTTTCATCAGAATGTCATGACCAATGCTAATAACCATAAACCCAGCACTAGGGCATAAACTGTTAGATGAGGCTACTAAAGGCTCAGTGACAGGGGCCCACACAGGACTGAGGAGAAGGGGGAATTCCCAGAAAGGGGAAATTGGGTTAT